AAGACCTATAAATCTAGACCTGAAACACCATCAGAAGGAAACATGCATTTTTTTTTTAAAATAAAAAAACAACAACAAAAAGAGCTTGTTTTGGAAGGGGGAATGTGGGTAGGTAGAGTGTTCAACCTAGACAGAAAACAGAAAATTCAGTGACCTGCAGGGTATGAAAGAATATGGAAACGTGGAAAATTTAGCAATGATAAAGCAGTTCAGGAAAGGCAAACCCAGGAGCCAGACTGTGAAGAAGTTTCTACTCTATCCTGAGAGTACTAGGAAACCATAACAGATTCTTTCTGCCAAGTGACATAATTAGAAATACACTTTTAAAAGATCATTATTATGTGTGGAGAACACATGGAAAGTGAGGGGCAAGACTGGAAGCAGGAAAACTGCTTAGGAAGGCACTGCAACAATCTGAAACGCAGATGATGATTAGAAGTGACAGGTAGTGATGATTAGTAATTAGATTGGGAGGTTGGAGAGGGTCAGTTTGGAAAAGGGAGAACGCAAGAATGATGCTTAGGACACTGGCTTGGGCAATACAGTGGGTGTGGTACCATTTATGAAGACAAGACATAACAAAGTTGTTGCCTGCTTAGGCAAGAAGATAATTCTGACGCTTAATGTTAACAGGTGCCAACTTGACTGGATTAAGGAATACCTAGAAACCTGGTAACGCTTTAGTTTTGGGTGTGTCTGTGAGGGTGTAGTTTCCAGAGACCAGCAGTGAGTCTGCGTGGACGACAATGTGAGCAGACACCATCTAATGTGCTGGGGCCTGGAGAGAACGAAAACAGGAAAAGGAAAATATGTTCAGCTATCTGTGGGAGCTGGGACTATCAACGCTCTCCTGTCCTTGCATAACAACTTGAGGCTCCCAGGTCTTTGGACTTACACCAGCCACCCCCCAGGTTCTGAGGCCTCTGGCCTCAGACTGAGAGTTACACCACCACGTTTCTTGGTTCTGAGGCCTCTGGACTTGGACTCTCAGCATCCCAGGTCTCCAGCTTGCCGCCGGCTCAGCATAGGACTTCTCAGCTTCCTAACCATGAGCCAATTCTTCTAGTAAGTCCCCTCTCACATATCTATACACAGTCTTGTGTTGCTTAGTGATGGGGGATAGGTTCTAAGAAACGCGTCATTAGGTGATTTTACGTTTGTGCAAACATCACTGCACTTACGCAAACCCAGATGGTATAGCCTACTACATAACCAGACTATCTGGTATGCTACGGCCTACTGCTCCTAAACTATAAACCTCTACAGCATGTTACTGTACTGAGTACTGAAGGCAACTATAATACAATGGTCAGTATTTGTGACAGAAATATTTCATCTCCATTGTAATCTTATGGGACTGCCGTTGTATATGTGGTCTATCATTCAATGAAATGTCATTATGTGGCACATGACTGTATTTATATATCACATTGGTTCTCTCTGGAGAACCCTAATACAAGTTTTGGTACCAGAAGTGGGGTGTAGTGCACCTTCTCATGGGTCCTGCTAGACTTGAGTCTAGTTATAGGTCTAGAAGCAAAGACGGGTTGTGGGTGGGGTCCTCAGGAGCTCAGCACTGTCTTGCTAGGCAACTGTCTCGGGAGGCCCATACCATTTCCTTGGGCAACGCAGAGTTCAATTCCCTCCTGCAGGTGGAAAGGCTGACGACACTGTGGATAGGAATGCTCCTGCCCCTAGGGGTGGGGAGGTCACTTTTGGCAAACAAGACTCACGAGTGCCCAGACTCATCAGGGTCTTCCCACAAGTCCCCATCCCAACTTGCAGGATCCCATTCTTCCCCAATCAGTGCCCCCACTTTAACAGCAGGTACTCTGCGAGCCTAAAGAGTTCAACTTTCATTGTAATTCAGCCAGTCCCATGACAAGTGAGAGCTCATGTTTGATTTCTGCAATTTCAGCCCTGTAGCTACAGAAGATTCCAGGGCACACTTAGAAACTCTTAGGTCATTGGGTGGGCCCAAGAAATGGAATCCCTGGGCTCATCTTTTTCTTTCATTATTTTGTTCAGCAACACTAGGAGGAACCAACCAATGTCATTATATTTCTTGGTTTTCCACGAATGTTCAAAAGCACCATGTATAGAGTTACTAAATTCCCTGCCTCTTATAAGCAGTAAATTGGGAGTATTAAATACATTTATTTTGTGTATCTCTGTAAGAAACAGTTCACATCATGGACTATCAGTGCTCTCTGTACTATTAGAAGTAGAGTCCTTAGCATTTTTAGGTCTAAGCAGATTAGAAAGCCAATTCCAGAAACACAAAACCAATTAAGGAAACTCATCCTTAAAATTCTGTTCCTCTAGAACTAGTCCTGGTACCAAAATCTGTATCAGTATTGGTTGTTTCTCTGGAGAACCCTGACTAATACAGAAATAAATTCAATTTTGGATATACAGTAGTCCCCACTTATGCTTGGAAGATATGTTCCAAGACCCCCCCAAGCAGTACTGACCCCTATATACATTATGATGTTTCCTATACAAAGCTATGATAAAGTTTAGTTTATAAATTAGGTACAATAAGAGATTAATAACAAAATAGAATTAGAATATACTATGACAAAAGTTATGTGAATGAGACCTCTCTCTCAATATATCTTAGCAACCTCAGAATATGACTTTTTTCTTCGTGAAAACTTTCACTTTTTCACTTAAAGCACTTTATGGCTTCCTTTTGGCAAATCTGAATTGCCAGCATCACTACTCTTGTGCTTTGGGGCCATTATTAGGTAGTTACTTGAACATTAGCACTGTGATATTGCGACGAGTCGCTCTGAAAACCAAGATGGCTAGTAAGTGACTATCAGGTGGTAGCATCTACAGCATGGATACACAGGACAAAGGCATGATTCACATGTCAGGTGGGATGGGACAGGACAGCTCGAGATTTCATCACACTACTAGAAAGGCAAGCAATTTAAAACTAATGAATGATTTATTTTTGAAATTTTCCATTTAATATTTTTGAACCATAATTGACTACAAGTAACTGAAACCAAGAAAAGCAAAACCTGGGATGAGAGGGGACTACTGTATGAGTTTGAAATCTAAGTAGGAATGTCTAGTTAGACAGCTGGAAAGCCCTAACCTGGATTTAGAGATTTAGGAGTTGTTATTACATAACATGGTAAATTAAACAACCAGAGTGGGTAACAATATCCAAGACTTCAAGGGATGTGTGTATCTTCTGACATTCAATGCAAAGTTAAGTGGTTTTTCTACAGTGAGAGTTTAGAGTTTTCATCAAATTCTCAAAAGATTAAGACCACCAATACAGACGGTACCAATATACAGTTGACCCTGAAACACAGGTTTGAACTGCACAGATTCTTAATATGCCGATTTTCTTTTGCCTCTGCAACCAGAGACAGCAAGGCCAACCCCCCCCCTTCCTCTTCTGCCTCAGCCTATTCGACATGAAGATAATGAGGATGATGACCTTTACGACAATCCACATCTGCTTAATGACTAGTAATATATTTTGTCTTCCTTATAATTTTCTTAATAACATTTTCTTTTCTCTAGCTTACTTTATTATAAGAATACAGAATACACAACATACATTAATTGACTGCTCATGTTATCAGTAACATTTCTGGTCAACAGCAGGCTATCTGTAAATTTTGGGGGAGTCAGAAAGTTAAAGGTGGATTTTTGACTTTGGGAGGTTGGCAATTCCTTAACTCTCACGTTGTTCAAGGGTCGAATGCAGACCATCCCATAAGTCCTGGGAGTAGCACATGAACTCCCATAGGAAGAATGTGTAGAGAAGGTAGGCAAGAACCCTGAATAACTCAACATGTAAGGAATGGGGAGAAAAAGAGGATGACAAACAGAAGCCAAATAAGCAGATGGAGCTTATGAGGTGTCAAAGCAACTCAATGAAGGGAGTTTCCAACAAGAGTGGTCGATTGTGTCAAAACTACCACAGCTGCTGGAATTGACAATCTTGTTGGTGACCTTGGTTAGAACAGTCTTATAAGCGTGCTTAAGCCAGCGGTCCCCAGCAGTGGGTTGGGTGGTAATGACAGAAAATCAAGTGGACACAAACAACTGTTTCAAGAAGTTTGGCTGTGAAGGGGAAGAGATACAGTAGATGAGACGGAATATGGAAATAAGATAGGTTATCTTTTAAGGTGGGGTTGGATTTAGGATGCAACTTAAGTAGTCAAGAAATTTATCACCTGGAGTCAGACATTCTGAGGTTAAACCTAGGTTTCTCCACTTAGTATCTAACCATGGGCAAGCCACATAGCATCTCCAAGTCTGTTTGGGTAACCGTAAAACAAGGATAATAATCTTCTAAGACTGCTGCGAGGAATTAAATGAGATAACGCTCATACAACATTTGGCATGAGGACTTGGCATAATGACTTGGGTAAATGTTTAGTACTACCAGTTACGGGAAGAAAGCAGCAGAGAAGTCGAAAATAGGGGGGGAAATGGAAAAGGACGGATTCATCAAGAGCCCTGAGAACCACGGGGAATACAGCAACTAGGCCAGAGCAAAGGCAGAGGAAATCAGCCTTTCACAGGAGGAGAGCCAAATCTCCCACCTATTTTCTCCATCAAACAGGACGGGAGATAATGGGGAGCTGCAGCGTGGGAAATGTGAGGGGTGGACAAAGTTTTAAACGACTGCAGATAAGCAGGAGAATTGGAGAGTTGGGAGAAAAGAAGAATGCGTGATAAGTTACAGACATACACCTAGAGTCCTGTTAAGGGAGGAAAATACAGACTTTCTAAAGCAAAGTTGCACAATAATCTCTCAGTGCTCTGCAGCCCCAAGGTAAAAGCCAAGGCTGACAACACGCGTTCGTCGCTGACTGGGAGAAAGCGGGAGAGTGTGGTTGGCAGCACGTGAGGGGCAGTGCCTGGCTCGGGGACAGCGGCAACCGAGAGGACGGGTCATTCGGGCTCGGTGGCAGCCGGGAGGAGGGGGTCGGACCCGGGAGACCCCGCCCCAGCCCAGCTCTTACCAGCAAGCTCTCCACGTTGATGGGGTCCCGGCACCGGCGGCGCACCGTCTCCTCCGCCGGGTCCACGAGAAGGCTGGGCAACTTCCTCGCCGGCCGCTGCTGACTCATGCTGCCCTGCGGGGCGGCCGGCGCCCCTAGCACCCCGCGAGCTCTCCCGCCTTCTCCCGCCCGGCGCGAGCGCCGCCCCCAACACGCCGATTTCTGGGGGCCTGGCACGAAGCGGGCCCGCGGCCTGCTCGGAGGCGCCGCCCTGCTAGGCCGTCCCGCCCGCCGGCACGCGCGCCGCAGCCCCACGAGCCCGAGCGCTCCCAACGCGGACGGGCAGGGAGGACGGCGACCCACGGCTCTCAGGACGCCAACCCCGCCATCTTCCCGCATGCGCAGTGCGCCGTGCCCGTGCGCATGCCCGCCGCCGCGGAGCGCGCCCGCGCACAGAACCGCTCCTCGCGGCCGGCGCCCGAGAAACCCGGACCGCGGAATCCGCGGAGAGGATGGGGAGGGAAAAGGAAGAGGTGGAGCGGGATTGGGATTGCGGAGGAAGGGAGCGGGGGCGAGAGAACAGAGGCAGCTGGGGAGGGGAAACGCTGAGCGCGCAGGAGTGTTCATTCGTTCTCCAGCTTCCTCCGCTGGTGTCACGCTTGTCAGTGTCGATGCTTAGTAAATGCTGGTAACGAACCACTGTGGAATTGTTTACTTCTATGCTCCTTTCTTTCTCTTATTTCCTTTGGTGAATGAGTTACTGATTACCTGCTGTGTCAGGTATTGGGGTGGGCACTGGAGATATTCATTTGAATATGGCACAGACTCAATCTCAAATTTTGGTGGAGGAGACAGATAAATAAACAGAGTATTTTAAGCTGGAGCCAGAAGGTGTGTTTTCAAATCCTGGCTCCCTCTCCTTATAAATTAGAAGACCTCAAGCCAATTACTTTTTTTTTTTTTTGAGACAGTCTTGCTCTGTTGCCCGGGCTAGTGTGCCGTGGCGTCAGCCTAGCTCACAGCAACCTCAAACTCCTGGGCTCAAGCCATCCTCCTACCTCAGCCTCCAGAGTAGCTGGGACTACAGGCGCGTGCCCCCATGCCTGGCTAATTTTTTATATATTTTTAGTTGTCCAACTAATTTATTTCTATTTTTAGCAGAGATGGGGTCTGCTCCTGCTGGTCTCGAACTCCTGACCTCAAGGGATCCTCCGGTCTCGCCTCGGCCTCAGCCTCCCAGAGTGCTAGGATTACAGGCGTGAGCCACCGCGCTTGACCCTCAAGCCAATTACTTAACCTCTTTGTGCTTTCGTTTCCTCATCTGTACAATGGGAATAATGACAGTACTTGACTCATAAGGTTGTTGGGAGAATTAAATGAATTAATGAACATAGGTTACAGTACTTAGGGACTAGCACATGTTTGAAATAAGAATGCAATGTGGTAAGTACGGGCTTGGAGGGAAGCAACTGGTCAGATCAGGGCCTTCTACCCAGCCTGAGGAGGTGCAGGGAAGCCTTCCTGAGGAAGTTGCCTCCCCACTAGACTATAAACTTCTTGAGGTCGGGGGTCTTCGCTAATCTTTGTATCTCAACATCTAGCACAATACCTGGCAAATAATAAGTGCTCAGTAAATGTTTGCTAAATGAACAATTTGAAATAAAAGATGACCTAGGGGAGGTCTTTAGAAGATTGCATTTTGTTGTAGAATGGACAATTTCCCGGAGCAGTTAGAAATGGCTGTATTTAGGACATTTATTCAGCATCTTCTATACATCTGGCATTCTGCACACCTTTGCTCATGTAAATCTCATATCAAAACTGAAGGATAGGTATTTTTCTACCCAATTTACAGATTAGGAAAATGAAGATCAGCAAGATCACAAACATTACCCAGGGTCCTAGGCAGGCAATGGTAGAGGCAGATTTTGACTCCACAGCTGACTAATTTTGTATTCATATCCTTTAGAAGAGTCTTGAAAGGTGACTAGGTTCTCCATGGCCAAAGATGGGGCTGGGCAAGCAAAGGTGGGAGGTGGATAGGGATGGGGGTGACAGGCAGTCAAGACTAAAGAAAGAGCATGAGGACAGACTTGGGGAAAGTCGGGGCAATAGCACAAGACTCAGACACTCACTACACCTGTTGTGTGGCTTTACCCTGAGACTTAACATTTGCATGGTTTTTGAGCATCTATCATGTGCCTGGCAGTAGGGTAGGTGCCGAGGGGAGAATTGAATCTGATGGGGCCTTACCTTGTCTTCCAGGGGCTCCCCGCCTGGTGGAGACATGTAACCAGAAAGCGTAAGTACTAAGTTAGAATATGTCTAACACACTATGACAGCAGAGAGGAAGAAGAAAAAAATAATAACGGAATTTGGTGTAAATTACTGGTGCTTTTTTACACATCTCCCTGTGAGGTAGATATTTCAGGAATCCTTTATCGGTAGGGATACAGGGGATTGGAGAAGTTAAGTGACTTGCTCAAGGCCATGCAGGGACTCAAAGATCGGACTTCGGCCACCAAATCCTTTGCTTTGTCCACCATAGTCTCACATTGGTACACAGATGCAGTTCCCAGTATAGAAATTCTAGCATTTTCATTTCCGGTCCTGCTTTTGTGTGTGCTTCCTGGGGCAAAATTGTGCTAGGGCAGGCCGGAGTGTGGGCTTTGGGACTTTACGATTACGGCTGAAATATAAGGCAAGTGTACAGGTGTGCCGGAGCAAGGCTGAAAGACCTTATCTATCAGGGGATATTAATATTTTTACCTCCCTTCTACTTTAACATGTGCCCTCTAGAGGTCTGCGAGGAAATGGCCATAGCCAATAGGACTTTCTGTGATGATGGAATGTTCTGGCCATCATGAGTCATTGAGCCCTTGAAATATGGCTAGTGTGTCTGAGGAAATGAATTTTAATTTAATTTTTAATTTAAAAATCCACATAGCTAGTGGCTACCATACTGAATAGCACAGGTGAAGAAACTAAAACTGTAGGTATTCAGTCCAGTTGCTATGGTCTGGACGTTCGTGTCCCCCCCCAAATTCCTGTGTTGAAACCTAATCCCTAATGTGATGGTATTTGGAGATCGGTTTTTTGGGAGGTGATCAGTCATGAAGGAAGAGCCCTCAGGAGTGAGCTTAGTGCCCTATAAAAGAGACCTCAGACACATCTCTTGCTCCTTCCACCGTGTGAGAGTCTGTAGCTAGAAGGTGAACCTGGTTCTATGGACCAGGAAGTGAAGTGGACCCTCACCAGACACTGAATCCACGGGTGTGTTGATTTTGGATTTCTCAGCTTCCAGATATTTGAGAAATAAATTTCCGTTGTTTATAAGCCCACCCAGTTTATGGTATTCTTTTATAGCAGCCTGAGCAGACTAAGATACACAGTGCTGTTCTAAGTGTGGTCCGTGACCTCAGCATCGCCATCACCTGGGTGCTTGTGAGAAATGCACATTCTCCAGCCCTACCCAGTTCTACTGAATCGGAAACGGAGGGTTCGTGTGCACTCTGCAAGGCACTGGCCCAGTCCATCCCCTTATTTTCCAGATGAAGAAACTGATCCCTGCCCTCTCTCTAAGTGCCTGATACCCCTAAATTGATACTTGGCTAAACTGAAGCCAAGTTAACTTTTCTAATGTAGTGTTTTGGGATTGAGGACTTAGAAAAAATCCCAATGGTCACTACTTATCTTAGTCCTTTTATGTGGCTATAACAGAGTGCCTGAGACTGGTAACTTATAATGGATAGAAATTATTGGCTCACAGTTCTGGAGGATGGGAAGTTCAAGATCAAGTCACCAGTATTCAGTGAGGGCCCTGCTGCACCATCACGCTTTCTATGTCATCCTAAACACTTCCCATTAGACCCCACCTCCCAACACTGTCACATTGGGGATTAAGTTTCCAAAAAATAAACTCTGGGGGATACATTCAAATCATAGCACCACTATAACTTAATATTTTCTAGATGTTGTGACTTTCTGTATATATCTCTCATGCCAACATAGGCATTCTTAGATCTTACAGATCATTGTGATAGTTAAAGGTGGAGGGTGATAGTGCAGAGAACATAGGAGGGGTCTAACTGGAGGCAAGGAGAATGGCTAGGATGCTGCCATAGCCACTGAACACACAGCTGATGATGGCCTGAACCATGCTGGCGGTAGTGAAAATGGAGAGAAAAGGACAGGTTCAGGAGATAGAAGGTAGAGTTCGAAGTAACAGAGTTTGGGACTTGATTGGATTCGAAGGAAGACTTGTCCTGAAGATAGCAGTTTGGATACTTGAGGTTTAGCAATGGATTATCCAGAAAGTGTGAGTAGAGCAAGGTGGGGCTAGGCCAGAGGATGGGACCCAGAGGAATGCTCAGATTTAAAGGACTGGCAGATGCTATTATAATTGGTCACAATAAGCATGTTTTGCTTTTGTTTTTAAACCAAACGATAACTAAGAGGGAGTAGCTAGGAAGGGGAATCTAGATTATGAGTGCCTTAGAAATCAAAAGAAAAGATTGATTTTTCTTTTTCTCTCTTTCTCTGTTTCTTTCTCTTTTCCTTCCTTCTTTCTTTTATTTTGTCTTTTTTCCTTTCCTTCCTTCCTTTTTTTTTTTTTTAAAGATGGAAGAGTCTTGGGCTTTTAAATGTCAATGAGAAGGAGCTGATAGCAAGGGAAAGGTTGAAGATACAGCAGGAAAGGGGGTAATTGAGGAATTGCTGTCCCTGAGAATGCTGACAGGGATGACATGGAGGAAGAAACAGGAGACGAGAGGAAGGACTCCTGTTCCAAAGTGACAGGAGGAAAGAAGACAAGTATAAGGACAGATGTAAGTAAGCAGGTATTTTAGCAGGAAGTTGAGGGAGTTCTTATTCTATGAAGAGGAGCTCAGGACACCTGCTGAGAGTAAGGGGATAGGGTAGAATGGGAGATTCGGGAGACATAGCAGGCACTCAGTAAATCTGTATGATAGATGGGTGAGTGGATGGATCGATGGGGAACAGTGGAGAGTGCTGACTTAGGAAACATGATAAGATTGTGGGGCCTCACTGGAGATTACCTGTGTATGTCCATGGCTATGGCACAGGGTCTGTGACATACACACACTCCTGTGAGAGGTGGAGGGAAGAGAGGCATGTATGTGCAAAGAATGGGAGAGGAGTAGGTGTGCAAACAAGGACCGTTCCCGTCAGTTTCCTGTAATACGTAATAGCCTGGGTCATAGAACCTTACAGCAGGAAGGGGTCTTGGGAGGTCTTGGGCATCACTGAGTAAACCCTCTCATTGTACGGGGGGAGGGCTGAGAACAGAGAGATTAAGTGACTTGCCTGAGGTCAGTAAGGTGGTCTCTATCAGAGCTGCCACTCCAACGCTGGTCTTAAACTTCCCACATCAGCCCACTTTTTAGGAAGGTGAGATGAA